ATAAAATTAAAAAAAAAAATAATACCAACAATGTCAATAAATTCAAATAATGGTAAATCTCATCTCAAGACACCTAATGCAACATTAATATCAAGTCTTTGGACAATAATATTAACTGCTAGTGGTAATCATGTTGTAATAATCAAACATTAACAATAATGCATATCAAATAATAAATCTATCTTTGGATCGATTTATTACTCACATATAATTCCTTATAAATGTTACATGTTTACCATCACAAGTGTGTATGCAGTTCAGCTAAGTATTAATTTTCCTTTGGGCCGATCAATACACGCATGAACTCACACACACACAACATCCAACATTCGTTACAAACTATCTGCATAAGAGATGTCACTTTGGCAACATCATATTTCAATAAGCTCATTAAAAATGATGGACAAATTTATAAAGTACCAATAATTCGAATTTAATTGAACCTTTAATTAAAAATTTTATTTTATTTTATTTTATTTTTGTTTTTAAAATACTGAAAACTACATGTCGTTTACTTACACAAGGTAAGAGACAATATGTCGTTTCTGGTTGTCTTCAACCTCCAGACGGGTCAAACGACCAGTTCGAACCCAACAGTTTCAAAGCCATTTTTACATCAAAATGAAACCTTCAAACCCCAAAGTTGTTAGAAATCTAATTTCTAGATGATTTCTAACCCTTATTTATACAAAAAAAAATCCAACGAATTTGATATACCAAACAGATCAAAAAACCAACAATCCAAACAATATATACAAGTCATCATTAATCACAAATTGATGACTTCATAATTGGTGAACAACAATGGCTAAGGGCCAAAAAATCGAAAAGAAAAAAAATTTCTCAAGAAAAAACTGAACGTGAATTTGCTCTGATACCAATTGTTCGGATAGTGAAACGCCGTACACTACAGAGTAACGAAATATTATATTCAGTGATGTACTTGTTGGATTAATTTTGGGACTACAATGTAATTAATAAATGTGTTGGGTCATCATTAAATAAGTCAAAATTATTGTGGTCTAATTTAGAATTAAGTTCATGACTTTGGGCACATTTGTCATGATATTATAGTGTGGATACCATAAGTGCAAATTCTAATTTGATGAGGGGCAGAATTAGAATTAAGCAAAACTTTTTTTGTAACCGCCTGGTAGTTAATTGAAAGGGTAATGGTCCCCGATTTGAAATAATATTTTCCTATATGATATGAAAGATTTGAGTGGTATAAATGTAAAATGTAAATTTTAGATGTTAGATGCGTAAATAAAGAGAAATTTGATGATATGTATGTAAATGCCCTTTTTTTTGAAAAAAAAAAATCAAACGCTATTATTTATTTTAAAATAACGCTTTAAAATAACCTAAAATAGTACTAGAAAACTTTTAAATAAAAATATAAGTATATTTCTCTTTTATTTTCTCATGAAAAAATATTGGTCAAATTAACATTAGACAAATTCGACTCAATCAAGATAACTTGACTTAAATTAAATCAAGATAAATTTTATTATCATTATGTTTGCGTTGACTAGTATAATTTGGCATTTGTCTAACATATATTTTTTTAATTAATCATAATTAAATAAATGATAATAAAATTTAATATGATCAAATATTATAACCCAAAATTTCTTCAAGTTTTAACTCTTTCTATATGTGTAAACAACCTAGCACGAGCAAGCCCAGATTCAGCTCATGTTCGGCTCGTGACAAAATGTAGTTGTTCATGTTCGGCTTGTTTATATTACAAACAAAAGAAATGCGCTCGTGTTTGACTCGTTTGCTTAGCGAGCCTAACATGTGTTGTTTGCGAACAAATAGTCGTTCTGACAACCTTCATCAAGCAACTATAAAAATATCAAGGATTGAGGAAATCTTATTATCTATATTTAAACATCATTTAAATATAAGTTGATATATTTTTATTCAATTTTTTAATTAATAATTTTAATTGATTATAAATCTTTATAGCCTTTTAGTTAATTAATTTTTTAAAATAAACTCATCAATTATATATATATATATATATATAATTTGACTATTCCGAATCAAAATAAGCTGAGCGCGAGTAAATCTTATTCGTGTTCGGCTCGTCTATGTATCAATCACAAAAAAAAAGTTTTTTTTTGGCTCATTAACTTCGCGAATAAATCAAACACCAGCTTCTTAACAAGCTGAACACGAATTATTCACAAACAATAAGCTGTTTTGTGAGCCCTATTCATTACCCCAACTTCTCTTATTCCCTCCACTCTTATAAAAGAATTAAAACTAGCTCAAAGCCATTTAATTAAGCACAAATCTGATTAATTAATTCACCTTAAAAACAAATAGAGAACAATCCTAACGACTAATTTACAGCACTAAGCATAACTAACTAACGACTATCCTATCCGTTGCATTCTCGACCATATGGGATCATTTTATTAGTAGATAAGAAAGTAAAGGGTAATATACATAAGTACCACACATTTTTTATAAATTTACATATGTGACACCCAAAATTTAATACTTACAATTATAAAATATTGGTGTCATAATACCTATGCACCAAAGGTTATATTTCACTATTAAAAATTATTGATGATAGCAATTTTGATGTGAAAGAATTGAGTGGTATGTATGTTAATATGTGTTTAGGTGTTAGGTAAAACACCAACACACACCCCCCAACAGCATCAATCACACCACCAACGCACCACTCCCATGTACACACACCACCACCTCAACACCACCTCACCAACATATCAACACAACAACAAAACACCACCACACAAAGCTTCCATGAGCATTTTTTTAAACATTGCACATCTCCTCCATAGAGTTCCAATGCCTCCCATGGCCTTCAAATGCCTCCAACCTGTCCATTCCAACAAGTGAAATGCTGAACCATTTCTCCCAGAAGGATCCACTAAAACCATTGAACAACTGTTCATAACCCGAAGCCCAATTCAATGCCTCTACTCAATCAATTTCCCAAAGCCACCAAATTTCAATATTTTTGGTTTTGCATCGAAGCCGCACATTCTAGAAAGAGGGCAAACCACCCAAACCGACCAAAACAAAAAGTAGAGACCATAAACCAAAAATATATTCCCAACATTCAAAATATGTAGATGCCCCAAAAATCAAATGCCAAATGCAACAAATTCCAATTCCAGCCATTCCTGGGTCCTCAAATTCAAGATTTATTCATTCCAGGTGCCAGAAATAGAAAAAGCAAGTCACAACAGACCGTAAAACCACAAAACAAGTAGAGCAAGGAGCACAAACAATAAAAAGAATGATATATGATACCAAAATCCATAATCACATCATCCTGATAGCGTAATATCAATTTCAAATGTAGAGCAAAGCCAAAAACCATACCGAGAAAGCTAGACATTCCAATTCAACCATAAATTGCAAAAAATAATGATAGAGGATACCCTAGAGAGAGAGTGAAGAACAACAGAGATGCGAGAGAGGCAGCTCGAGAGATGCAATGGATACCCTAGAGAGAGAGTGAAGAACAACAGAGATTCGAGAGAGGCGGCTCGAGAGATGCAATAGAGAAGCGAGAGAGATGCCTTGAGAGAAGTAGCAGAGACGCGAGAGAGATGGCTCGAAATTAGTAGATAAGCAAGAGTTGCAGATATGGGAAGGAGCAACGGCAGAGACACAAAGAATCTAGGGTAGGGAGGAGAAAAAACAAAATAAGAGACGCGAACCATGGGGTATTACCCGCGGCTCGCATTTACACCCGATTCAGACCCGAAGCTGCTGCGCCATTGTTTCGAAACCAACACGAAAGTGGTTTCAAATCGCGCCGCACAGAAACTGCCGCGCCAAACGGTACCACCTTTCTCCCTCTCTCGTTTTCATCACAACAGCAAATTTCTCCGTTTCTCTCCCCTTCTCTCCTATCCAGCTGAAGCACAGAGGGGGGAACCTGCAATCTCCTTCCCCCAGCTGAGCTTTCTGCTCCCTCTCCCGCTCAGCCGCACACCAAAACCCCCTCCCAGGCCCGTCTCCGATCCCAGCTCCCTTCTCTGAATCCCAAAACTTTATCCTCCCTGTCCGTCGCTCCACACCCCACCATAAACTATGCCTCTCCAACTCCTACTTGCACATCAGGCTACTCCCGTCCTGCACTCCAGACATAACCCATCTTCTCCCCTTCTTGGTTCACCATTCATAGGCGAAGCCTCCAAGGATATTATTGCTCCCAGCTTTCCTTCGCTCTTCCATCTAGCCGCACACTCCCGGCGTTAAATCCTGGCCTATATCCGGTGCCAGAGAGGCCGTTGATGATGCTAATAAGTGACTACTTAATATGAACTAAACAATAAAACATAGAAAGAGTACGTGCAAGTAGCAGTACATTCAAGTATTTAAGCATCATGAAAGAGCCTTAAATATAACTGAAACCAATTAAGAATATTTTGATTTAAATTTCATCAACATAAAATAGTAATGTTGATAAATTAACCATATTATAAATGCACATAAAAGAAGAGTGAGAATATTCTGACATATATTTAGCTAGAATGTCCAATACAAATTTTATTTAAATATGAATCACATCTTCTCTAATTAAAATTAATCAATAAAAAATTACTTATGATTAAATTTTATTATCAAGATAACCACATTGCCATTATTGATTACAAAGTGAAATTAATTTATTTTATTTTATTTTAAAAAACCTTTCATGCCTAAAAAATATTAGGAAAAAAAAAACATTTTTGAAGACTCTTTTCTTCCAGGTTTCGCTCCAACAATATAAAATGTGCTACCATTCTTATATAGCTGATCTTAAACAAAATTCATTTCAACCAAAACCGGCAATTGATTTGAATAACACTGGATCATATATCCCAATCAAAATTTTCATTATCAAGACGAATTTTAAAGCCCTCAAATCTAATACTAATTTTAATTTATTATTAAATCTAAAGACATTGAGATCAATAGATTATTTTTCTCAGCATAATTTCATACAAAATCCCCCCCCCCCCCCCCCATTAATTAGTCTCTCTTGGGCGCACCTGCATCCATCTCCGAATACGCATTCCCATCTCCTTCATATCATCCACCTGCTCCACAAAAGCATAACCTGATTAATTAGAACGAAATCAGTACACATCAGTTTCAGAGTATATTTGTTTCATTTCTTTCATTAATGATTAGAAGATGTGAGCGTTTTAGATATCTGAGTCGATTGTTAAAAGTGCAGGTGATATAGATGGGGTTTGTCATTAGTAGAATTCAAGTTGGTTGGTTGAAGTAGAGCAATGCATCGGGCCTACTGGTTGGGTGATTGAAAAATACTGCTAAGACTTAAAAGATAAATTTTATAAAATGGTGGTGAGATCTGTAATGCTCTATGGCGCAGAGTGTTGGCTATTTAAAAGAGAATATAAGAGGATAAGTGGCTCGAGACTTAGAGACAAAATGTGAAATGAATATATCTGTGAAAGGGTTGGTGCAGCTCCAGTGACAGACAAGATTAAAGAGAGTTATTTTAGATTATTGCGTCGAGATCTAGATATATACCAGTTGATGTGGTATATATATATATCAAACAGGAGAATGATCGAAGAAGCGAAAAATAGAACGAGAAAAAAAATCATACCAGAAAAGAACACATAGATTTACATGATTCGAGAAACTGCTTACGTAAAGAACACATAGATTTACATGATTCGAGAAACTGCCTACGTTCACAGAGTAACGTTCACAGAGTTGTAGAGGATTTTACTACTTGAGGAATTTACACCAGTTGATCACCTCGACTTACAAGAGGAATCTCTCACTTCGTTGATCTCTCTTATTCTCTCTCTACGCCGAGATACACCGAAGAAAATCTACACCTAGATACACCGAAGAAGTTAAACTTACCAGAGAAATAAACTCAATTTCTCTTCTGTCACAAGCCACCAAGAAGAAGCCTAGAGAGAACAATCTTCTTTTTCTTTCTTTCTTCTTCTTCCTTCTGTCGCAAGGAACTATCACTTACACTTCTCTTCCTCTGCCCTGAGGAAACTTTCCTCTATCCCGAGGAAACCGAAGAACTCAAACCATGACTTCTCATTCAAACTGAAAGAGAGTCGTGTGAACCTTTTTACCGCAAACATGAAGAGAGGAGCGTTGATTCCCGAATGTGAGCGGGAGTTTGCGGGAGCGGTTAGTGACATTTCGCGATCGAGCGCAGGTGAAAGTGGTGCGATCTTTCGCGATCGGGAACAGAGAGCTCTGACGCCGATTTGCGAAACGGAAAACGGGATCGAAAGTTATCGGGCTCCAGCTAACAAATCTCACATTTGGAAACCGATACACATGCTACAACATCTCCTTCCTCGAACTGATCTCCTCCACCTTGAATCTTCCACCTCTGCAACTCAAAGTCTCTGTCTTCACTCCAAAAGACCAAATGAAGCTGTGCACAACTTCAGTTTCTCAAGAGTAATACCCTCAGTCAACATATCAGCAGACTCCACATAGCTTTGCATCTCCAAGTTATTCCTGGGTCACTATTGTCTCTTCTTACAACTCTCACTGCATGGGCAACATCCTGCCTATGTTGAAAGACTTTTTCAACAAGTCTAGTCTTGTATCTCTTACTGACATCACGCTCAGTCTTTACCTGGTACACCCACTTGTTGTGCAATGTCTTCTTCCCTGGTGAAAGTTCTGTCAGCTCCTACTTGCTCGAACTTTCATCTTGCAATATTTCTTCATAGCTCTATGGTTCTTCAACATCTATCTGTGGAACAATAGGAATGGGTGCCCCAGACTTACTTTCTTCTCCATCACTGTCTGCACTGTGGTCTTTGATAGATTTCCTACCACATTCAAAGCTCCTGAATCCAATATTAAGTCTTCAACAGAACTATGAACTGCCAACAATAGTGTATCGTGTAATTCTTCAGATACCACATTTGTGCTATCATTCTTCATTTTCTTCAGATTCCTGAAATTTTTTTTTATGTGATCAGCATTGCCACAATTTCAACAGGTTGCTAGCTGACCAGACTGATTTTGATCTCTCTCTATTTGAGTTCCTGTCATGTCATTTCTTCTCTCTATTTTTCTCTTTCTACATCGAGATACACCGAAGAAACTCTACACCTAGATATACGATAAACTTACAAGAGAAATAAATCCAATTTCTCTTCCGCCACAAGCCACCAAGAAGAAGCCTAGGGAGAAGAATCTTCTTCTTCCTTCTGCCGCAAGGAACTACCGCTTGCACTTCTTTTCTTCTGTCCCGAGGAAACTTTCCTCTATCCCGAGAAAACCGAAGAACTCAAATCGTTACTTCTCATGCAAACCGAGGCAGAGTCTGTGAACCTTTTTGAGAGGAGCGTCATTCGCGAACGTGAGCGGGAGTTGGCAGGAGTGGTTTGCGACATTTCTCGATTGGGCGCGGGTGGAAGTGTCACAAACTTGCGCGATCGGGAACAGGGAGTTCTGGTGCCAATTGGCGAAACGGAAGGCGGGATCGGAAGTTATCGGGCTCCATCTAACATTGACGGTACGGTCGCAATAAACGTCGACTATCTCATGATCCGGTTAGGAGTGTAGATTGTTTAGATTCTACTTATTTTAGGAAAGAAGAGATAGACTTAAAAAAAGTTTTGAAAAATAAAATAAAAAATGATCTTAATTTATCAGAATCAAATGAAAATATAACAGAAATAGAGAAAAAAAGATTCATGTAGCAGACCTCATTTAGTGGGATAAAGGCTTCTTGTTGAAAGTGTTTTGGAGAAATTGCAAATAAATGATGTAATGTAAACCTCAAACTCATCTAATTAGTTATTTGGAGCAAAAGTGTGGAGTGTGATGCAAATGACAATTGAAAGGGACAACTTAGCAAAAGAGTTGTCAGATTATTTGAGAAGTTGGAGGACTGATTACCGAATGGATGCCGGATGCGTGAAGAGTTCCGGCGACGGCTGCTGCTCCTGCGCCGACGAATAGTGTGGCGATGGCGAAAGCCTTGAAGGGCATCGCCGCTCCGCTCGTGCCGCACCCCCGCCGGTAAAAGGCGACTCCCGCCGCTAGCTGGCCGGAGCTCGCTGCCCACCACCACAACTCGTCGTCTCCGCCACCGCTAGTCTCCATCTTATTCTTGGACTTCTTCCGAGATCTGATTCGATCGATCGAAGAAATCGAGCGAGCGAGAGACGCGGGTGGGGCTTTCTCGTAGGGTTTCGCTCCCGTACATTCCTTCGCACGAAATAAAAATATGTATAAAACTCTCTTAAGTCTCTTTTAATTTATTATATTTAATTTTAATTTGAAAGAAATCGTATTTATCACATAAAAATATAATTTTATTTCTTTATTTATTGGATATTTTTTATTTCAAAAAACTATATAATCAAGCACGAGTCCCGTAGCATTTTTTTTAAAAAAATCCTTCAAATTTAAATTCATGATCATTCAAGTATTCATTCTATCAAATTTATAATGAAACTGAGCACATTTGTAAGACGAACCCAATGACTTTAAAATTGATTCAATTCGAGTCCAATGTTGAAGTCGTTGAAATACAATTGAAGAACTTGGATTGTCAATTGAATGATCATAAGAACTCCAATTTGACATATCATAGTTGAATTAAGTGTATCTTGAAAGTAATCCAACGAGTCTAAAATCACTAAATTACGAGATCATTATGACATCCAAATTCATAAAAATCTATCTATAATTAAGAGGGGATGAATATTGATCGTACGATTATGTGGTGGATGACCAAAAAAGTTATGTACCAATAGACCAAAATGCACAACTCAAAAAAAAAAAAAACTATAAATAGACTCATTCCCTTCACTTGAGGGAGGGGGAAAGAAGGGAATGAGAAGTAAAATTCTAGAGGTTGTTTAGGAGAAAATGCTCAGTGAGTAATTGTCGACCACTATAGACAACCACTCGATGCCACCACCTGCAACCACTAATCACCAACCGTCAGTGACCACTATTTGCAACCGTTGTAGCTAGAATATGACTGGTGTTGAATTTTCTAACACTTCCATTTTCTTAGATATCTAAAGACAAGTATAGTTTTCAGTGTATGATGGTAAGCCCATTCTCTCTATCGTGGGAGAAGGGTGTACCCCTATGCATATAAACACATAGTTGATTACTTTGACTTTGCTAGAGCCTTACCATTTTCAAGGTTTTTTTCACTTAAAAAAATTTAGTGTCCCCATCCACTACATTTTTTTTATTTATATGACGTACTAAACTTGTCTAGACTAGATCCCATATTTTTGTTTTTTTCAAGGTTTTTTAAGATAAAAATTTTGTTATCTCCCCTCATCATATAATTTTATTTGTGTGTGTGTTGAATTTTCATACAATCCTAAAATAATAAATCACCGCTAAATTGCGGTGTATTTTTATGTACGGATAAATCATAGTAGTTATTTTTAAAATTATTTACAACATATGAGCTTTTTTTAAAAAAAATAAATTAACTAATGAGCCAAAAGTTGACTCTTTTTCTTCTCATTTACATGTTTTCACCATGCCTTTGAAGGAACAATCCCTATTATTGTAAAATTCAAAATATGAAAGACGTTAGGTTCCTGAAAGTTTAAGGATATATCAATTGAGCCACTCTAATTTTCTTTTTCGTAGCTATTAATTACAAATGTCGTTTACATATAAGCCACCCAATTCCTATGTATTTACATCTAATGGCTAAACTATCATTTTTACATTTAAACCACCCAAATATTACATATCACACTAAAACTATCACTAGTTTACCTTTTTAAAAATAAATTTTATATTTTCATGGGCACGCAAGATGGCATATGTGTAAAAATTGAAGTTTAGATGTTAGATAAGTAAATATTAGGAATTAAGTGGTATGCATGATTCTTCCTAGTTATAGTTGTTGCCAGAATTCTTAAAACAAAATTTCATAAGTCATGTACCCTTTGATTAAAGGATGATGTGGGCTATCTGAATTTAGTTTCTATTTCGGGCAGCTTATTTGGTGCAGCAGCATTTTGAAAACACACATGAACTGTTTTGGTAAACTTCGTTTTGAAAAAACTGACTGCATTTATCTAGGTGCGGTTGCAGCTTTATGACAGCGATCTGACTTTTCCAAAAAAAATAAAAAATT